TGCCAACTATTCCAGCATATGTTTTACACAGCGAATGTCCTTCCAGCTGCAACNCAGTACAGGGAAACAACCATACACACTCATTCACTCACACACACACACACACACACACACATACACTACGGCCAATTTAGTTCATCAATTCCCCTATAGTGCACGGGGAGAACATGCAAACTCCACACAGAAACACCAACTGACAAAGCCGTGACTTGAACCAGAGACCCTGTTGCTGTGAGGCCACAGTGTGACGCCACTGAGCCACCATACTTTAACTAAACAGTATTGTATTTGGAAACGTCCGCCAGGAGGGTTGTGCTGTCTTATTGTCACATGTGAATTCATTCAGACTGTTACTGACAGCGACTTGTGTTTGACTGCAGATGATACAGCAGACATTATTAATGTGCTCCTCATCATTACTGCTGCTTTTGTTGTTTGTTTGTTTGTTTGTTTGTTTGTTTGTTTGTTTGTTTGTTTCAGAATTAACACAACTTTCAATTTTGACGGACAGCAGAGGATGGAGATTCACACATGAGCTGAAGATGAGCAGCTCAACAGCAGATATTGTGTGTTCATATCGTCTGATCAAACACAAGTCAGAGCACATCTGGAAACCCCTGCTAAATTTATTTGCCTTTTCCAAACTGTCACAGTGTTTTGGGGTCATTATATTCCTATAAAATGAAATTCCTTCATCACTGAGTCATGAAGCGTGTGTATAAGAGCATGCTCATGTTGAATGTGTTGTTAGTAATCGGGATGAAGCCTTTAAACAGAACTAAACTGAATTTCCACATTGAGTAATGTTGTAGTTCAGTCGTCTCTGTGCTGGAGCAGGTAAATATTACTATATGAGATGAACACACACACACACACACACACACACACACACACACAGAGAGGTATTCTACTGTACTGGTGGAGCTCAGTGCTGCTGATGCTGTATTTTCTCCATCATTTTCATCAGAGCGTCCGCTAAACACACTGGACATATCAGACAACACAAGTTCCCTTCAAGACGAGTCAGTACCAGACCCGAAATCAACTACTGTCCTGATGAGTTCAGGAATAAGACGAGCACATCTGAGCATAATGCAGACACACACACACACACCTTAACTCTGCTGGGACGTCAATATAATGCTGTGTGTTTCCTGACATGATGTGTGTGTGTTTCTGTAAGCTCGACTGAACACTGGACAATACTGTGAGCTCTTGCTTCCGTTACAACACACATTTAATACAGACACACACTCTATACTGACACCACACAGCTCACAGAGCGCCATATCAGATCACACACACACACTTATCAAACATCTTCTGAAATAGGTCACACACACACACACACACACACACACACACACACACACACACACACACACACTGCCAGTCTCTTCAATAAAGGGCTAAATGAAATGAAGCTGGTCTATTTTTAGTCAGGAGTGTGAATCATCCTCTGCTGGGATGTTTACAGTGAGTCTTCATTTGTCAGAGCTCTGTGATTGGCTGAGACGTCACGCTTAACCAATAAACACTGACCTACTGCAAATACACCAAATCAACACACACACACACACACACACAACACTCAGATTAGATCAAACCACACTACACACACACTTTACACAC